TATAAAGCTTTTATCACAACAGTGATTTTTCTCTTAAGATTAAGTACAATGAGATTCTATGAGGAATGAGAATAAATGAGAGCTTTAGAATATAATGATTTCTTTTCAGCAAGTGTGTAACTGAAGAATATAGTGAAGTTCTCCTTTTATAGGCAGCTGAACCATGCAAGCTGAACGTTGAAAAGAGAGTCCCAAAAGGTCTGAGCCTTTTTGTCTTCACATCAAGTGACCTTTCCTAGAAGTAGATGGCACAGAAAAATCCTTTTTGTCTGTGTAAGTGTGTCTAGCACAAATAAGGAAAGAGACGTTGAATAGCTCCAACGGATATATTCTTGAAAATTACTTCTTCAGTTTTCAGCAAGTTCTTCAGAGTCTGAATGGATCAGAGTCTTCTAATGAGATTCAGAACTATGCTGTATCAGAGTCTTCTACAGCAGGTGTGCTTTCAGCGTGTTGATCATCAGAGCATTTTTGACACAGAACTTCAGTACTAGGCAGCGTAGGTACTTTCAGAAACTTCTGTAGATAAATGCTTTGAGAAACTCTTCAATAAATATTCTTCTATGCTTCAGATGCTTTCAGCTTCAGATGCTTCTGATTATCTTCAGATGCTTCTGACTCAGAATGTTCTGGAGCTTCTTGCTTCAGATCCTTCTGGAGACTACGCTCAGGATCTTCTGTAAGGAGCAATCAGATTCTTCTGTAAGGTGCATCTGGCGCTTCAGAGTCAGAATAACTTCTTGTATTCAAAACAGATTTGCTTCTAGAGAGTTAATATTATTTCAATCTGCAGTAAAACTCTCAAACAAATTTTAGAGTATATAATTCTTAAATATAAATTTCCTAACAGTTATCATCAAAACAAAGAGTTATTATTAAGAACCAATATGTGTTCTAACAAACCATAGGATGAATCCTTGGCATGACAACATTAGGACTTGATAGTCTCCCTTTAGTTGAACCTGTTCGTTCTCTTCTCATCTCAAAACAAATCAAAATACAGTAATAAAGGTTAACTGATGTCATACGTTACGAGCCTTAAGCTATATGAGAAAGGGTTGTCGAAGAGTTTCTTTGCGACAGCTTGGATGTTTAGTATGGCACCCTTTGGGTGACATGCGACGCATTCATTCTCAGGTCATAGTCTCTAGTGCGATATTAGTTGCAAACATCCATAAAAAACAGTTCTTCCGTAAAAGACAAAAAACAAACTTCAAACCTTTTTGCCCCGTGGGCCCGTAATTCAAAGGAAGCTTCTGAAGAAAAGAGTGTTGTTAACTCTCAGTTCTACCGTAAACGGTAACGCCTAAGTCTCCAAGGGTCGAGCTGCGTACATCCAATTGTTGGAACTGTTTGTTAACCCTACTCGATAAAACAGATGAATCTGAATCCCCGTAATCTGTATTATCCCGAACTACGTAAGCTCTGATCTCTCATATCTGTTGAGAGTACGTAGGCACAATACTGATGTATCGGCGAGCCACCTTCCCCGTAACCCGTAGTTAGTCGAACTACGTTGACTCTGATTTCTCATTCTCTGATGAGAATACGTAGGCATAAAGCGCGACGCTTTGCCGAGTCATTTTCTTTCTTTTTTTTTAAGCCAGCCTTGATAGGTAGATAGATAAAACCAACCCGTCCAGTAAACACAACAAGCATGGATCCCATCGAGTACGATGGACGTGAGGGGTGCTAATACCTTCCCCTTGCGTAACCGACTCCCGAACCCAGACAATGGTTGCGATGAACTTGTCTTATACCTTTTTCGTCAGGTTTTTCCGATCGTTTCCTTTCCCGTTCTGAGGGATAAATAACGAAAGGTGGCGACTCTTCTGTTTTTCCGGCACCTTATTTTCGCGGTAGCGACAGTTGCAAACGCGTAATATCTTCAATCCTTGTTCGAAGAGGAGAGATAGGGTGATTCATTCAAGATAACATTGTTGTGGATTGATACATGTTTTGCAAATCCATTGGGAACTTGTGTCTGTCGAAAATTCTTGTTTGAGCCATTTGATCCGATTTTGAAGAAATCCTTTTCTTAAGCAAATCCTCTTGTTCATAAAGAGACATACTTTTCTTGAGGGCAAGCAAGATTCTAGTTGGGGAGAGTTGTTAGATGCCCAATTGTGCTTATTTGAGCTATCAAATGTGGGCATCTTTCACTTCTTTTTGTCAAGAAAGTGTTCAAAATCGCTCTTGCTTTGGTTGGTTTGCAACATTATGTGAAAAGATCTTGGTGCCTTTAATTTGTGTGTTATTGTGCAGGATTTAGGCATGAAAGAGTAGAAACTTGAGACACAAGAAAGTTGGAAAAGAAACCAAGAAAGCAAGCAAACATCAGCAAGCTCACCTAGCGAGGGAGGCAGCGAAGCACTCGCTAGGCGAAGACGCAGCGAGATGCCATTGAGCACTCCCAGACTTGGACAGTGCCAAAAAGACCATAAATTTGCTAGGCGAGTGAGGTAGCGAAGAGCTCGCTAGGCGAAGCACCAGCGAGCAGGTAACGAGCACCTCCAGATTTTGGACAGAGGCAAAATGGGCATAAGCTCTCTAGGCGAGTGAGGTAGCGAACAACTCGCTAGGCGAATCAGCAGTGAGCAAGCAGCGAACGCTCCCAGACTTGGGACAGTGGCGAAAGGACCCTAAGTTTGCTAGGCGAGCTGCGCAGCGAATGACTGCTCGCCTAGCGAACATGACAGCACACAGCCACTTATATAAGTAGCATGGGCTACTTTTTGGAAAATATCTTATTTTGTTTGTACTTGCATTGAGAGGAGTTTTCTGACCTAGAAACCCATTTCCTTCATTCTTCATCATCTCTTAGCAACATTTCACAAAAAGAAGGTGGATTCCCATCCATTCTCGATTATTCGACTTGGATGTTGATCAACCTTCTCCTGAAACTTGTTGCTCAAGTTATCATGAAAATGAGTAGCTAAATCCCTCTCTTGTCAAGGTTAGGAGTAGTTGGTTCAGATTTTATGTATTCTTCTTAATCTCTTGTATGTGAACAAGTTCTTAATCAATATAGATGAAGTTATTTGCCATTATTTTTACATTTATGGTTTGGTTTGTATTAGAGATAAACTTTCCAAGTCTTGACCTAATATCTTCATCTATCAACTATACAAATGCTAGAGATAGATTTGAAAGTTGATATCCGCTTTGTATCATTCTTAAAGCTTATTGTTCTGATCAGTTAGGTAGAGAGATCATTTAACGGTCAAAATAATAACATTCACGAAATCGATTTTGAGATGAATGTTTTTGCGAGGATACGCGGTTATGTTGGTTAGAAATTTGTTCACATATTTGATTGGTAGAATGTGTTTAGGGCGGACTAGCGAACCCTAATCTTGGCATGCTTTTATCAAACTTAAGACCGATTTTTATTACGCTTTATTTCTTGCAAACTTTTGTTACAAGATTGAAACCATTAAAAAAAAACTTTTCTTAAGTCATTGAAGCGTTGAACGGCTAGCATTTATATTCTCTTCAATCCCTGTAGAGATTATAAAACACTTCCAAAAAATACTTCTAACAAAATGGCGCCGTTGCCGGGGATTGTTAGTTGAATATTGCAAGCATTGCAATAGTTTAGCGATTTTAAGATTTTTGTATTGTAAATCTCTTATCTTTGTAATTCTTTGTGCTTTTTAATTGTTTAGTTTGTGTGCAGAATTCGTTTATGCATGGACAGGTTCGGCCGGAAAACCTTCTTTTCGATCCTGAGATTGAGAGAACTGCTCGACGTACCAATAGTCGCACAAGGCGAAGACGACAACAAGCTATTGCAAGACAAGAGCTCGGAGAATCTTCTTCATCCACTCCACCTAATTCACCAATTATGGCAGCACCTCCACCTCCACCTCTTGTTTCTACTTCCGAAAAATACTTCTAACAAAAAGCGATAAGACAATCAACAAAACCGTATTAGAGTTCCTCTCCTGAATGTATTAGGGACATGCAATTTCACGATGTACGTGTATATCATTTGCTACCATGCGGTCAAGATACACTTTATATGACTTCGTCGCCTAATTTCCTCTAAGCGGGATGAATGCAAAAGCACATGACATATCCTCAGTGTAGGTCAGAGCACTGAACAACTCAATATGCGTGGGAAGTGTTGGAGGTTCTAATTCTGAAAATAATACATATGAATCATTAGTAATGGCGTTGGAAAAGTGTTATAAAAATGACACAAACACTAAAAGATGAAGAAATATTATCGTCAACAATGTGATGCTGCATGTCATCTGTTTGGTGTTTTACATACAACTTTAAGCGGTACTCATGGACCTGTTTCAACTCAGTGAAGTATCTCAAGTAGATTACACTCGAAGAAGAATTTAGTGCGTTTTTTTTTATTAAAATAACATTCAGAAATGTATTTTCGTAATTTAAATAGAGCGCAATTTTTTTTTACTTAGTCTTGGACATAATTCAAAAATGAATGTGTTATTGAGTGTATCCAAAAATAGATTTATAAAATTTAAAGATGATTTTGATTTTTGACGAGGGTGGGGAATAAGTTACATTAGCAATTGCCAAAAGTAATGGGGTTGCTAATAATGGGCCAAACTATAAAAATCAATGGAACATTTTAGAGATCAGGATTTATATGTTGAGCCACAGATCAAAAGGACACGCGTTAGCAACAACGTGAATGTCGTTCATAGAATTGGACGTTGTTGAAAGATTGTCGTGAACGTGCTCCACGTTCATTTACTTATTTATAAACTGAAAAACACGTTCAATTTTGAGGTTCGAGTTGGACCTCTTCTTCTGCATTATTATTGTCTTTGGGTGCTTTCACCGGTTGCACCTGAGATCGAAGAATTCATTCATTCTCTCTTTTGCCGCAACATATCAGGTTTTCACATTACTCTCTTTTTGATAATTTCTCTGTGCATGTATTCTTCGTTCTTTTGTTAATCAAATTCTAAGAGTTTTGAAGAGTTTTAGATTGTTTGATATTGTGCAGTTTTTGAAAGACAATGGCCGATGAGGATATTCAACCACTCGTCTGTGATAATGGAACAGGAATGGTTAAGGTAATGTACAAGGCTCATTCTATATTCTGAATTGTTCCTATAGAAGTGATTGGCTAAGTATCTTTTTCCCGTCTTTTCGGCGATGTGACCGAGTAGTTATTGCGATGCTATAATGCTATAGCGTAGTAGAATTTGAACAAATCGCGATGGATGTTTGCATGATGATAAGTCTTGCTTTTTACTGATTTGCTGTGAAACTATTGCATTTTGATTTCGAATGTTTAGGCTGGATTTGCTGGAGATGATGCTCCGAGGGCTGTGTTTCCTAGCATTGTTGGCCGACCACGCCACACCGGTGTGATGGTTGGCATGGGACAAAAGGATGCATATGTTGGTGATGAAGCTCAGTCCAAACGTGGTATATTGACTCTAAAATATCCAATTGAGCATGGTATTGTGAGTAATTGGGATGATATGGAGAAGATTTGGCATCACACCTTCTACAATGAGCTTCGTGTAGCCCCCGAGGAGCACCCGGTTTTGCTCACTGAAGCACCTCTTAACCCTAAGGCTAATCGCGAGAAAATGACTCAAATTATGTTTGAAACATTCAACACACCTGCAATGTATGTTGCCATTCAGGCCGTTCTATCGCTCTATGCCAGTGGTCGAACAACCGGTTAGTCCTTTTTTCGGTTTAAGAAAACTCATGTGTCTGCATCTAGTCTAGTGTATATTCAAAGATTTTTATGCTATGCAATGAACTTGTGCAGGTATTGTTCTGGACTCTGGAGATGGTGTGAGCCACACTGTACCTATTTACGAAGGGTATGCCCTTCCACATGCTATCCTTCGCCTCGATTTAGCAGGGCGTGACCTCACCGACGCCCTGATGAAAATCCTAACCGAGCGCGGCTATTCCTTCACAACTACAGCCGAGCGTGAAATCGTAAGGGATGTGAAGGAAAAATTGGCTTACATTGCACTTGATTATCAGCAAGAGCTTGAAACTTCAAGAACAAGTTCTTCTGTTGAGAAAACCTATGAGCTTCCGGATGGACAGATCATCACCATTGGCGCTGAGCGTTTCCGTTGTCCTGAGGTTCTTTTCCAGCCATCCATGATTGGAATGGAAGCTGTTGGCATTCACGAAACAACGTACAACTCAATCATGAAGTGTGATGTTGATATCAGAAAGGACTTGTATGGAAACATAGTACTCAGTGGTGGTTCTACCATGTTTCCTGGTATTGCTGACAGAATGAGCAAGGAAATTACCGCGTTGGCTCCAAGCAGCATGAAGATCAAGGTGGTTGCTCCGCCCGAGCGAAAATACAGTGTCTGGATTGGTGGCTCTATCTTAGCTTCTCTTAGCACTTTTCAACAGGTAAACACTCTTTGGTAATTCTAACCGATATGATATGTTTGTATCGTCCGCGTGTATTTGTGCACGGGGTATGATGTTTTTATGACATGTTTGATTTATTTGGGATACTAATGCAGATGTGGATTGCAAAGGCCGAGTACGATGAATCCGGTCCTTCGATTGTACACAGGAAATGCTTTTAGAATGGTTTGGTGTAGGTATGGTGTGCTTGTTTGACAATGCAATATCACCTTTCAATGGTTTCTGATTTTGTTTTCTTGAAAGAGTATTTATATAATGTTAGAAAGGTGAAGTCAGGGAAGGTGGAGTTTCATTACCCAGTTGATTCTTTCATTTGTTTTGTTCTTACCAATTGGTAATTGTTGAACTATAAATCAAAGAAATTTCAAATTATTTCTACTTGCTTCGCAATTCTCAATCCACCTGATTGCTTTTTAGCCATACAAAGAGACTTTTGTGTGGTGATAACTGATAATGGCATAATGTAAATAAATTGAATGAAAGAGTAAATGTGAAGATATAATTGGAAGAAGATTGAATTAAAATAGATATGAAATTATTCACTTAAACTAAATTAGAAAATATAAGTTTTAGATTGATTAATTATTTACGTATTAGTATTAACTAAATTAAAAAAATGAATAATTTGTGAAGTTGAAATTGAATTTTTTTAAAAGGATTTTCTTGCTATTTATTTGGTATTGATCCTTCTACATCATTAAATCAAACACAATAAGATGTTGGACTTTAAAAATGATGTGGTGTGGGACTTTTAAAATGTGTTTCTATTTGTACTTTTGTGAGTATAATAAAAGTGATTTTGTCCACCATGTGAACGTATCACTTATTTCCTTTTCTCCATTCCTTTTGCCTCCTTCTTCAAGCATGGTCTTACTTATGGAGTGTAATGAAAATGGAAATATGGTTGAATCCATAAATTGCAAAGAGAGGTTTGAGTTGTTGGCTTGTTGTATTGAAAATTTCCAACGGGGAAATGAGAGTGTTGATTAGACATAATTGAAAAGGAGATGTATGGGAGTGACATTTGTGATAGCAATAATAGTAGCTTAATTCGTGAATCGACTAGGGACTAAGGGTGGCAAAATGGATGGATTGAATGAATATGAATTGTATTGTTAATAGATGGATTAAAATAGTCCATTAAATTTTTTTTAAAATTATCTAATCTGATCTATCCATTAAGAATAAATCTATTCATTAACATATTTTTAATGGATGGATATCCATCCACCCAACTTTTTTTTTATTTCGTAAAAATAAATATATATATTTTTTATTTTTAAAAAATTGATTTTATTTTATTTTTGAAAAATTCATTTTTTGTATTTTAAAAAAAAATTTTTTTTTAATATATTCATGAAAAAAATTGATATTTTAATTTTTGAAAAATATCGATTTTTTTTTTCAAAAAAAAAGTCGTTTTTTTTTACGAAAAAAATCATTTTTTTCAAAAAACAAATCAGTTTTTTATTTTGGAAAAAAAATCGATTTTAAAAAAAAAAAACAGATTTTTTTTGAAAAAAATATAATTTTTTAATTATTTTAAAAAAAAAAAATAAATCTAACGAAAATAAAAATAATCCTGGATTCTTAAAATATGTTGAATGGATTGAATCCATCCATGCATATAAATGGATGAATTTAACGCAATCCATTAACTTATTTTTTATGTGGTAGATGGATTGGATGGATTTTTTTATGGATGGATTGGATGTATTTTGCCTTAATGGATCCAATTGTCACCTCCTGTACTAGGGACACTGACATGATTTAGGTCTCTTTTTTCTCACACCTGACGAGTAAGACATTGTAACTGATTATAGCCTCTGTTGACATAAGCATATACCATCTCTCAAACAAGGTGGTGAACTTTGGCTCTATGTTCATAACAAAAGAAAGACTGAAGGAGTTTCATAAAAGGAGTAATGATTTTGTATACTAGAATTGAGGGGTGTCATTTTGGAACCATGTGTGGATCGTGAGTGGGCATGCATGAGACGTCCTTAAGGATGGTAGATGGTGAGTAAGACATTGTAACTGATTATAGCCTCTGTTGACATAAGCATATACCATCTCTCAAACAAGGTGGTGAACTTTGGCTCTATGTTCATAACAAAAGAAAGACTGGAGGAGTTTCATAAAAGGAGTAATGATTTTGTATACTAGAATTGAGGGGTGTCATTTTGGAACCATGTGTGGATGGTGAGTGGGCATGCATGAGACGTCCTTAAGGATGGTAGATGAATATTTCTCCATGTATGCATGAGTTTTATCAAACTCCGGGATGAAAATCCTCATCACCCCTTTGAGTTTGAGGTTTGTAGGACAATTATCTATTAGACGATGGTAACGATCTAGAGGCGTGTGAATAGATCGCAAATAAATTTTTATGATTAAAAATTTATTTTAAAAAATATTTTCTATGGCAAGTGAAAGCAGTTTCTGATCAACACTCGTCTATCTCAAACCGTTATCGGAAGAATTATATATATATATATATATATATATATATATATATATATATATATATATATATATATATATATATATATATATATATATATATATATATATATATATATATATATATATATATATATATATATATATATATATATATATATATATATATATATATATATATATATATATATATAAAACAGTAACGAAATGAAATTAACATATAACAATGATAAGAAAACAAATTAATATGTTTTTCAAAATAACAGTTGAACAATTTTACACTTCGATAATAAATTTCCAATGAAATTAAGAAACAAAAATTGACTAAGACAATTTGTCAAACACTTGGTGTATAATGAACACTAAGCTGATTTTTCTTTTGTGTTGTTGATGTGGAAATCAATTGCAATTTTATAGATTGCAATTATCTTGTCAAAAAACAGTTTGAAATATTTCAACACAAACGAAATTATTAATATATGAAATTGCATACTAAATGAGTTTACAAATTGTAGAGAGAGAAAGTACAAGGATTTGTTTAGGCGGTTCTTCAATTTTTCTCACTATGGGTAAGTCTGTCCCCAATTCCAAAACAAATTGAGATATTCAATAATCTTTGCAAAATGTTGAATACAAGAGTGAAATAGAACTCATACCCCAAAATCTCAAATTTGATGTTGATTATATCTTCTTCTCTTTCCTTGATCTTAAGCAAGATCAAGTGCCCCAAGATTTTCAATTCGATCATCTGGTTGTGTTATTTTTTTGACATAAACCCCTTTCTTCAAAGCTTTCACTCGGTTGAATCCTAGTTGAAAAATCTTATGCCAAAAACTCCCCAAATCACACTTAATCTTTAAGAGAAAACCCTAATTGGTTTTATCAACGAAATCCCCAGAATAATCTCAATCCAATTTGATTTTACAAATCCTAACTTGGACCTTATCAAACTTGTATCTAGATGGAACCCAACAAAAATGATTATGTGTGTGGGTGTGTGGGTGTATGTGTATATTTGTGTGTGTGTGTGTGTGTGTGTGTGGGTGTGTGTGTGTGTGTGTGTGTGTGTGTGGGTGTGTGTGTGTGTGTGTGTGTGTAAGAAAGGAAAATAACAGAAAAATAAAACTTAGAAATCTTACAAGTATTTGGCATTTTCAAACAGCATGTGTCGACCTAATACATGAACGTGTCGACCCATAGAAGCATTTTTGCTTCTATGTGCCGACCTGAAAAGCTTAGGCATCAACCTCAAGCAGGCAGTGACTTTGGCTTTGCCAAAGGCTTAGTATGCATTGACTTATAGTCAGCACACGTCGACCTAGAGGTGTTATGTGTCGATCTAAGGAGCTTGTGTGTCGATCCGTATTGGACAACAACTTTGATTTTCTAAAATCTTCAGTATGTGTCGATCTATAGCTTAAATGTGTCAACCTATAGACTAGTTTTTCATATAAAACTTGATTTTAACATGTAAAAAACATTTCTAACTTGATTTTGAGTATCCTAAGATGAAAATGGACATCTAGTCATAGAGGATAAGGTCCAATATACACAAATACTAAGTGTCTTAATTTTGACATCACTCAAATTATTTCTAAAAGAAAAGTGCACTCACATCAACATTGTCCCTCCCAACATCACCTAAATAGTTGAGCATTTATGGGGGGTGAACTTTTGTGTGAGGGCTTAGGTATCACTTATAATATGGGCATCTTCTTCTTCTACAGAATGAATAGGGTACATAAGGGGAAGTTGATATTTATTATTGCTTTCTTGAATAGGGGGTCATTTTCCTTATATTGCTCAAACTACAATAATTAAACGAATAAATCATTTTGGGTATGTGGAAATCAAATCTAAATATAGAACATATTTAAAAATAGTAGAGGTTATAGGTTTCCATTTTATTGGAAAAACAACCTCGTGTTAATAACTGGATTTGAGTATGAAAGACTCAAAGAGTCTGAGAAGGACGAGGTTAACCTCCTAGAAAAGATGTATATTACCAGTGTTATGTGTAACACCCCACTTCTCAAAACAATTAAAATAATAAACATTATAAATATACATCAGAGTATTTCTTCCCAAGTGGGATATCACATAGCAAAACCAACATTTCCTTATAAAAAGGTTTTCTCCAAAATACAACGGAAAATAACAAAATAGTAAAATCCAACAAAGTTTTTTGGTACGTTCACAGGAAATAAAATACATGTTCAACAGAAGGCAACTAAAAACACCCAAGTCCCATGCTACGTATCAGAGCATCCTAGACTCGACTGGCACACCATAATCCAAGTTAGCTAAGTGTCGCTACTCGAAAAATGCATCGCGCAACGACGGGGAGGCGAAAAAGATAGACAGAAGAGTCGCCACCGAACTTTATTTATCCCATGAGGGGAAAGGAAAATATCGAGAAAACCTTAAGAAAAGAAATGGATAAGATGGTCTCGCGACCAAGAACGGGTTCGGAAGCCGGTTATGCGAGGGGAAGGTATTAGCACCCTTCGCATCCATCGTACTCGATGGGAACCTTTTGTTTGTCGATGTGTGAATTTATTTACTTAAACATTATGCTAAAAAAAGTGTTTCATTGGGTAAAAGAAGGGTTAGAAACAGGAAAGTTAGGAGGAAAGAGAGAACGGGGAAGGAAAGAGAAAGAACAGACTCGGTAGGACTTCGCAGTCCTATGCCTACA